GCACTACCGTTGTATGAACAAGTTAGTGTATGTTTGGCCAAAATCTATACATTTTTGATTTAGAATACAATATCACAATTTACTATAATTTATAACTGCTTGCTTGTTTCCTCAAGAAAAAAAAATGTGGCGTGTCAGCAATTAAGTTGGCGTTGTGAGAATTTGTATTCATGTTTGGAAAAATATGGAGTTTTATGTAGACGAAATGAAATGAAATGAAATGAAATGAAATGAAATGAAATGAAATGAAATGCTTTATTGTCGTTAAAACTGAGTACAAAGTTCATGACAATCGTCAAAAGAAAAAGAAAACAATCAAGAAAACAATCAAGATGGCAACTAAAACTAAAACTCTAAACCAAAGTACTCTTCATGTTTATACAGGCAAGCCTGGGTTAGAGTAGTTTTTAAAACATGTTTAAATTTTGAAACACACAGGTTTTTGATGGATGCAGGCAAGAAATTGTACATTTTAACACCTTGGTACTCAAAACTATTTTGAGTGGCTGTATACTTATGCCTTAGTGTAGACAGATTATCTTTAGATCTAGTACAATAGTTGTGAACATCAGATATCTTTTCAAAGTGAGAAATGTTTTCTTTTACATACAACAAACTTGCCAAAACATACAAGGATGGAAATGAGAGAATGTTAAGACTCACGAAAAGGGGCTTACAATGTGTTCTTCTATTCACACTACAAATTAACCTCACCGCCTTCTTTTGTAAAGTAAAAAGCAGCCTGTTAGCATAAAAACTGTTGGCCCACAGTGAGGTACCATAGGACAAATAGCTATGAATGTGGCCATAATATATACAAATAAGGACATCATCTGAAACAGTGGACCTAAGTGCTCTTATCATAAATATGCCTTTTACAATTTTAGATGCTACAAAATCTACATGTGAAAACCACTTCAAGTTTGACTGCAAATGAAAACCCAAAAACTTCAGAGTGTTTACATCATTACCATTACTGCTTAGACTAATAGTCAGGTCCTGAGTCTTATCAGCATTAAGACATAACTTGTTTGCATTACACCAGTCGTTAATAACAGCAGATTTTGTGTCCAATGTGTCTGTAACATCATTCAAAGAGTTACCCCGTACACACAAGGCCAAGTCATCAGCAAAGAGAAAGCTTTTTACAGATAAGTCATTAATATTACAAGGTAAGTCATTTATATACAGTATAAACAGGGTAGGGCCCAATATAGAGCCTTGGGGCACTCCGTGGGGCACTCGAACAGGGCTAGAATAAGTGCCATTTAGATAGACTTGTAATGAAATGCGAAGAAATAACTTAGATTTTTTATATAGACGTATAAATAAAAAAACGACATACGGTTAATGTATGCACAACAATGTTTCCATCAATACAATAATATATTTTTCTCACAGTTACCTAACAATGTACATGTTCTCTCACTGATTTGAGAAAGCAAAGTGGCCATTTGCCATTGGCCAATTCGCTCATCAGTTTTACTCATTACTTTGTCTCACTCACTCCAGATTTGCAACGTGAAGGCACGAAATAGTGAGCACGTGACATGCAGACAAGGTCGTATGCGCGCGAAATACGTTGGCAGCACTGGCTGTAAATCAGCTGGTCAGCTGTTGTACTGTTGTATCATTAAATGTAATATAAAAAAGTTCACTTCTGTGTAAAAATATGTCACGTTTCTTTACCAATTTATTTGTTTTATGGTAACTGTAGGAAAAATATAATGTGCAACTCGAGTGCAAAGTGCAATTGCCTCACTCGAGAAACCATTCCTCTCGAGTAAGCATTTCTCTCGAGTGAGTCAAATTGCTCACTTTGCTCAATAGTTGCACAAATAACTATAACAAATGTGACATATTTTTACACAGAAGTGAACTTTTAATCTGACATAATCAACACGATCAACAACAGTACAACAGCTGACACAGCACAGCCAGTGCTGCCAGCGTATTTCGCGCGCATACGACCTTGTCTGCATGTTACGCGCTCACTATTTCGTGCCTTCACGTTGCAAATCTGGAGTGAGACAAAGTAATTAGAGTGAGACAATGTTAACATTGTCTCGCTGATGAGCGAATTGGCCACTTTGCTTTCTCAAATCAGTGAGAGAACATGTACATTGTTAGGTAACTGTAGGAAAAAAACTATTTCTCATATTAATAATTTAAATCTATGATAACATAAGAGAGTGTATTCAGTATTTAATCTATGGTTTAACTCTTCCTTAGTTGAAAGCTAATTGAAGGCTCGTTTACTATTTTCAGTAGTAATAACTAGGTGGCGTTCGCAAAGGCATCCACAAAATTGAGCGGAGTCATCAAGGGTTCATATTATATTGTTTTTGTTATACTGCAGTAAAAACAGTCGTTTAATGCATGTGTTTTGGGTCTAAAGTAGCATTTTAACTCTTTAGAGAGTAAAAATCGTTTTTAGCCTCTATGGAGTAAACATCAGCTGTTGTCAACTCAGTTGGAAATTTCGATTGTAAACGATTGAATGTGTCGAAAATATGTATCGATTCGTTCTTCATAATCATTTAAGCATTGCAGATACATTAATCCATTCCCGCAGTCAAAAAACTGCTCACCTTTACTACTTCCTTCACCACCCCCTACGTCGTGGACCTGTTTCCCTCTCTTCCCATAGCTTTTTAGGATTGCAGATACGTTAATTCTTTTTTGCTAAAGTCAGAGTTCCCACATTCTGCACTGCTAGCCTTACTCCTTCACCATTTCCTACGTCATAGACCTGTTTCCTTCCCTTCTCATAGCATTTGAGGACTAAAGATACATTAATCTAACTGCGTCAGACGGTAATCACACTATGCTCATACTTTACTACTTCCTAAGCCACTTCCTACGTCGTGGACCTATTTTCATCACTTTCCATAGGATTTTAGTATTTTAGATACGTTAATCTAATTGTCACAAACATTCCCCAAACTCCGCACTGTTAGCCTTTACTACTTCTTTCACAATTTCCTATGTCGTGGGCATGCTTCCATCCCTTCTCATAGCATTTCAGCATTGCAGATACATTAATCCAACTGCTACAAACGGTTTCCAGTTCCCACACTCCACACTGATCACCTTACTAGCTTCACCTCTTCCTACGTCGCGGACCATTTTCCCTCTCTTTCAAGAGCATTTTAAGATTGTAGAGACCTTAATCTAATCGTCATACCCAGTTCCCACAGTTCGGACAGCTCGCCTTTACTACTTCCTTCACCACTTCCTACGTCCCGGACCTGTTTTCCTCCCTTTCCATAGTATTTTAAGATTGCAGATCCCTTAATCTAATCGTGATAAACAGTTCCCACACTCCGGACTGCTCGCCTTTACTACTTCCTTCACCACTCCCTACGTCCCGGACCTGTTTTCCTCCCTTTCCATAGCATTTTAAGATTGCAGATCCCTGAATCTAATCGTCACAAACAGTTCCCACACTCCGGACTGCTCGCCTTTACTACTTCCTTCGCCACTTCCTACGTCACGGACCTGTTTCCCTCCCTTCCTTTGGCATTATTGAAATGCAAATACCTTAATCTATTGGTCATAAACAGATCCCACGATCCGAACAACTCGCCTTTACTACTTCCTTCGCCACTTCCTACGTCCCGGACCTGTTTTCCTCCCTTTCCATAGCATTTTAAGATTGCAGATCCCTTAATCTAATCGTCATAAACAGTTCCCACACTCCGGACTGCTCGCCTTTACTACTTCCTTCACCACTCCCTACGTCCCGGACCTGTTTTCCTCCCTTTCCATAGCATTTTAGAATTGCACATACCTTAATCTAATCGTCATAAACAGTTCCCACACTCCGGACTGCTCGCCTTTACTACTTCCTTCACCACTTCCTATGTCATCGACCTGTTTCCCTCCCTTCCCATAGCATCATAGGATTGCAAATACCTTAATATAATGGTCATAAACAAAACCCACACTGCGGACAGCTCGCCTTTACTACTTACTTCACCACTTCGGCACTTCCTACGTCGCGGACTTGTTTTCTCCCCTTCCAATAGCATTTTAGGTTTGCAGATTCCTTAATCTAATCGTCATAAACAGTTCCCACACTCCGGACAGCTCACCTGGACTACTTCCTTCACCACTTCCTACGTCGCGGACCTGTTTTCCTCCCTGCCCATGGAATTTTAGGAATGCAGATACCTTAATCTATTCGTCATAAACCGTTTCCACGTGGTTTGCACACTCCAGACTCACCTTTAGTACTTCCTTCACCACTTCCTACGTCACGGACCTCAAGTTAATGTTGTCATTTAATTATATTCATGATCCGTACAGTTTCTGTTCTAATATCTGTGGAATAATGCTATCAGCTATTTCTCTATCTACTGCATTCAAAAGTCAACAGCTGATCATATGTCTTTGTTTATGTGTCAAATACTGCTTCCATAAGGATTACATTGAAACTTTGAGACCCAGTGGGGCGGATTCCTGAGAGACTTTTTTAACGCGATATAGATGTTGGCACTCACCGGTATGGTCTTTATCACCATGCAAAATTTGAAAACGATTGATTCAGCCGTCTAGGAGGAGTTTGCGTATTACGAAATGCATAAGAGTCGTATAAGAGCTTCGCTCGCTTCGCTCGCTCCGCTCAATCATGGTGGAAGGAACATTTCCACCATGAGTAAGAATATTGTAACTTAATATTTTATAGCAAGCTTCAGTCAGAAAAAAGAACATGTTTGCTAATCATGGACAAGTCATTATTGACAACCCCAGAGAACAGATCTCATGGGTAAATGCCTTGGGGTAAATGTACCCAGACCGCCGCATCGGCAATAGGAAAAATACAGAACAGACAGACTGATGACTGACAGACATAATCAGCCGTCGACGTCGGTTTGGTGGTGACGGTTTGGTTTGTACTTTGTTTGCTCATTGCTGATTTTTTTTACTGGTTTGATTTTCAATTCAAGTTGGAGGTTGGAGGTTAGTTTGATTTGTTTTCGTTCGGTCACGGTTGTTTTCCATTGTCTAGCATAAAATAAAATCGAAAAATTCTGTAATTCTGTCTGACTGGACTGGTTATTAAGATAAGTGGTGTAATTTTAATCCTTTGATTCGTTACAACTTGTTTTTATTGTCATAAAAAATGTATTGTGGTGTGGAGCACGGTTTGATTGGTTACAGGCCCCTAATGAACATCATTCCACCATTAGGCTTTAATTGCTATTACATTTTTTAGTCGTGTTATGTAAACGAAGTGAAAGTTATCGTTAAAATCAATTACATTTTTGCAAAATGTTTATAAACTGTACTATTTGTAGTGACTTGTTTACCGGCCAGGACTCAGAAGTTGTTTATGCTACTTCATGCGGTCATTTGTTCCATCAACAATGTTTACTTCAGTGGTATGAAAGGTAGGCATATATGTTCAATAAAAACTAACTTAATTTAACATAGCTACATCAGGATTGTGTTGTAGTCCCTCGTATATTTTCATCACTAGGGCCTAAAGTGACTCTTTTTGACCCGAGGTCAAGTTTTACAATCGAGGCGAAGCCGAGGTTGGGAAATGAGCGAGGGTTCAAAACATAGAAGGACACTTTTTGTCTGTGTGGTGAACTACCTTATATTTTTCGTCATATTGCATAATTAATTATCAAACTAAGCTAGAAAAATAAATAATTGTTATGTAAAGATAACCTCTCTGAAACAACTTCCAGCTTGTTTTCAATTCTGCTAATGCAAATTAGCAGCTGTTTAGTAAGTGACTCAATCATTTTGTCTATTATGATTGTGTTACAGTTCACCATCGACATGTCGAGCAATCGAAAACAATGGCTAACACCTTACCGTACCTAATAAATCAATCGATAAATAATTTTGATCGATACGATTGCCACAATCAAAATTGACAACTGTTTATAACAGCTGATTTTTACTCCCTAGAGACTAAAAATTATTTTTACTCCCTAGAGACTAAAAATTATTTTTACTCCCTAGAGACTAAAAATTATTTTTACTCTGATAAAAAATGCTACTTACTTTAGACCCGGTATTAAAACTAGGTAGGCCTAGCTGTTTTTGCTGCAGTATGACGTTTAAAATGTAATTATGTCCTTGATGCTGTCAGGTGATTTTAGCATATAAACCTCATCTGTGTTGCCTTTCAGTGTGAGTGCACTTTTTTACAGAATTTATTTCTGGTTCAATGAGGATATTATTCGCTGAAGTGTTGACAAAATATGAACAAGAAATTTACAATATAGGTAATATCATTGTGGGTTCGCCCAGACCTGAGACACTGTGTAGCCTAACATAATTAATTTAGATAAATATATTCAATTTTCTTTAGGCATCATTCATCTAATAGATCTTAAGGGAGCCTTCGACGAAGCCCCCTGTTCTCAGTTGCTTCACCAAGATTAAAAGCCAGTGCACCAGGAACAATGTTTAAAGACTTCAGAAATTTGGAGGTGGTTTTTTCTAAAAGGCCAAGATAGACTCCACTCCTTCATGTATGCCTGTTTCTAATAAACCAGGGAGCATTCACCTCTATTCTTAGAATTTTGTTTTGGATCACTTGAATTTTGAAGAGTTTTTTTTTTTTTTTTTAGGCTATAGCTAGTCCCCAGATAGGCAGCTAGGAGCTGTATTATGTTATCAAACGCCGAATTATTGATTTACAGATTAGAACTGTAATTAAAATCCATATTTTCTAGCCCCTGAGCTGGTTCTATAACTAAATGGAAATATTACCTTACTCAGCCAGCTCCTGTATTGTTACCAATGTTACGGCCGTTTCAGCATCACTGTGCCATCATCAGATGTTCAGCCTAAAGGCGTCATTATAACACAAACATTTTTTCACATGAAACACACACATAAGTAGTCAAAACGGGGTTTTAAAAAACAGGCCTGTTGAGGAACCTACATTTCCGCACTCGAGCAAATAGCTGACTCAGCTTCCAACAGCTGGAACTTAGCTACTTGCTCGAGTGTGGATATGTACGTTCGTCAACAGTGATGCTGAAACGGCCGTAACATTGGTAACAATACAGGAGCTGGCTGACGAAGGTAATATTTCAATTTAGAACTGTAAGCTGGTTTCAGAGTATATTTCCTATTGATCAAAGGAAACAACTTTGCAAGGCGTGCATAACCTTGGGACAGTTTTTATTGATGCGGTAGTTCCAATTAAGTTTTTTGTCCAGCCATATTCCAAGATATTTTATGGCCTGGTCATCCGATTTCCACGGTTAATAGGTCTGTACTAGGGGTGAGCACCGATAACTGATGTTTTTTAAACATCAATGTTCTTCACACCTATGTCAGGTGTTAAATCAAATATCGATGTTATGGAAAACTATCAATAAGTTAATTTTCTGTGGCTGAATTTAGCCTACATTCGTTGTAGTGATTTATTATCCTGGAAAAGAGTAATTTGCATAAAAGAGCTATGGAAAACTCCGCCTTGGAATAATTTTAACACAATCAATTATAACTGATCGTTAGATTTATAATTTCTAATGTGAAGCTGTTTGTTTAAAACTTGGAATGTGGTTAGTTAAAATTTAGCTGAACAAGGCAAAAACACACATCATTCGGTAGGCTACCTACCGAAACTATATGGAGATTTTCACTATTAAATTATCAGTAAATTGATGGCGAATAGTTATGTTACCATTGATGGAGAACACACATAATTGATGATTGACCTGGTCCATTGATGCTCATCTCTAGCCTCTACTGAGATCCAAACATTGTGGTACTTTACAGTAAGAAACACTAAGACTATGGATCCTTGTGGTTTTAAGTCAGTGAAGTTTACAGTTATGTCAGCGTTTCACTAGGAAGGCAACAGTTGTAATACAAATTCCAACTGGTATTATGGTGGAAGTTGTATAAGTTAGCTAACATGCTGGAAGTATGCTTCAATTTACCTTAGGGCTTGGCCCCACCTAGTCTAATGACTATAAATCAATATTTTATTACCGGTAACTAAAGTTTTTAAATCAGTCAGCTTAAAATCTAGGTTGAAGTTAAATCCAAAAATAGTAGGGACATTTCTTGAAAATGTCAGTGTAGTGTGTGGTTGACTTGATTAAGTTTTTCATACACACAGTCTTTAGTGATTATTTAATGACTATCTAGTAACAAACTAATGCTATCTATAGTATTTTTACAATTTCTAGGTCACCAACATGCCCTCAGTGCAGAGAAAAGCAGAGACCAAAAAATGCCGTGAAAGTTTACTTCAGTGTTCCAAGCAACTTTAACTGCTCCCAGGACGATGCATCAGCACTACAGAATAAAGTCGACAGTCTCAATTTCCAAATAAAGTTGAAGGATACAGATCTGAAAAATCAGAAAGAAGATAATGACAAACTCAAGTTCCAGACCAAAGGGTTGAGGTAAGTAAAGTCACCCAAAAGTACTTTGTACTTTGTAAAGACTTTCGAGAACATAATTCTTCTAAAATAAATTTGTGCACTTTATATTCATCAAAACTGTATTTTGGCCTAATGTTTTGCTCTAATAATGCAAAGAAGTCACTTTTATTGAATCCTAGAGTAAGATATCGGTCCCTCTCCCCTAAAAAAATGTTGTAATGTTGCCTTGCCAATTTTATAAAGACTTTCCACAAGCATTTAAAGCACAATCACTTTCACCAAGAAGAAATTTAGGTTTCATTGTTTTTATTGTTGTACACTCAATAAAAATTACTTCAGTAGGCATAAGGAACGCCAGAACTTGAAATGTTGGTGATCGTCCTTACAAAAGAATCCTATCGCTCTAACTTAATTAAGCAAAAAAATAGTAGTTGACAGGCATTCAAAGCTATATGCCTAATCTTATTGGTGAGCAAATATTTAGGTAGAGCTCATCATGAAAGTAATGGCTTACCATTCTTTAACTTTAAATGTTACTAGTAATAATAATAATAATAGGTTAAATACCTTATTTACGCCCTCAATCCAAGTCGTCTTTTTATAATGACTATAGTTTCGGGGCCAACAAATTAGGATAAATTTTCTGTCTTGTTAAATTACTGTTAATAGCATTGGTCATCGTTGAAGTTCACATATACAAATACACTGACACACAAAACATTTATATTTATTTACACGTAACATTGAGAATTTGTACTTTTGGCCGACCTAAACAAAAGTGTCTATAACGTTGTGCGGACCGGTACACTGACTGACTGATTCATGTTAGTCGATACCCTGGAGACGCTAAAAAGTATAAATTCTCAATGTTATGTGTAAATATAAATGTTTTGTGTGTCAGTGTATTTGTATATGTGAACTTCAACGATGACCAATGCTATTAACAGTAATTTAACAAGACAGAAAATTTGACAATGGGGCTGTTGGCCCCGAAACTATGGCCATTATAAAAAGACGACTTGGATTGAGGACGTAAATAAGGTATTTAACCTATTATTATTATTACTCATTATCAATCCAGGAGGCAAACATGGATAAATTTAAATGTTTTGAAGTGTTAGATTCAAGAAGCGAATGTAATTTACTGTTACTGCCTTGTAAGTAAACTAATAACACGATAGGAAATCATTGATGTTAAACCAACTAACTAAAAGTGAAAATTGGAAAATACAGTATGACTCAGAGCCTTCTTCTATTGGATCTTCTAGTTATTGGGAATATAATTGATTGAAAAAAAAGATAGGGCCTAAATGTGGAAGAAAGTATAATATTCAACTAAAGCTTGGATTTTAATTTACAGGGAAGAGGTGAAGAAAATGCGAGATGAGCTCAATATTCACCAACAGCAAACTTATAGCTACCTGGAGAAGATCAAGACTTTGAAACGGGAATGCAAGCAGCTCAACGAGTACAAACTGGAAGCTGATGAACTAAGGAAACAACTTGATAATTACAAAGGGTTTGTGTTTATTTTTACCATCAGTCAAAAAATCACTCTAAAATTGTAAATTTTTGTAGCTACGCACTAATTTAATCGTTTGATAACTAGAAAATAAAATATCTGATTAAAATTTACTTAAAAAATAGGTTAGGCCTACTTTAAAATTCTTAGTGATGTCTTCGATTAGTGAAGTTTACATCTTCTCTGGATAAATTTCAACGCATTAAATATTCATATATTTTAATTCAAAACAAAATTTTGCCTTGTACATGGAAGATGATAATGATGTCTAACTTACACGCCCATGGGAGACATTCAATTTTTTGATTATTAATAAATATTTTTAAGACCGTTATTTAGTTCTTCTAAGAATGAGCCATTAAAAATATTAGCCTTTAAGAAGAATGACAAAGAAGCTTTACATTTATCTGTAAACTTTGTCCATTATGCAACATCATCAAAATCATTATTATTATTTTATCGTGATCACGTAAGACGAAAGACGATGATGATGCTTCTGAGACACTGGGAGAAGATGATAATATGTACATGACCGCAGGAGATACTTAACATTATGCTGCTATCAGAGCTTTTGCCTTCTTTAAAAATAATTCTTATTACTGTAGTTTAAGATTTAAAAAATTCTTTCTGTAAGGAATTTGGATAATTGGCAATTTTGTATGTTGGAGTTTGGAATAGGAGTTCAAGTCCTACACTGTACTCAGTTAATTTGGCTTACTCTTTATGTAACCCCCCCTCCCGTTCTCTACCAACTGTTACCTCGTATCTAAGGGCTGATTAGTAGAACCTTGATAACAAGACTCTCATGGGAATTATTAAATAAGACTTGTTATCAAGGTTGACTTCTTATTGAGGTTTGCAGTAACATGTGATTAGGGGTAAAATAATTTCAAGGGGATTTGAAAATTGCTGTTGTCATCAAGCGTGGCTTGTTATCGAGGTTCTTCATATCAAGGTTCCAGGTAGCTGGTACATGTGTTAATCCAATAAAACGCAAGTCTTGTCATACACTCTATTGGATGCACTGAAATATTAAAATACAATGGAACTATGTGTTGTGTTTTTTGGTGTTCAGTTTTTGTAGCGTCCTTCTATGTATTGCCATGTCTTTAATGACCTAAAATTAGTTTTGAAAAAAATGATTTTCATGTCTCTTCTTTAACAACTAGCATGGCATCAATATCATCAAGTGGCTTGCTGTTTCTTCAGGATATTTCTTCATACAAGTTTAAAAAACCCTTTAGTCACGTGAACGAAACTAAACTCACACATTTTGACTTTTTTAGGTTTATTAATTTATGCTTTATGTATCGGTAGTGTTCAAGGTACTTTGTTATTATACCGACCACACCTAAATTGGTTTCCCTTAGGTTGGGCTGGATTAGCCTTTTTTTGTCCGAGGACGCTAGGCAGAGCCCGGAATTGTTTTTCACATTGCTTCTGGGTAGACATTAGGGTTGCGACATTATCACTTAGATAAAATCCCTTGGTGATTTTGCGGGATTTGAACCCAGGACCTCAGGGATCGAAGTCCCGCGCTCAAACCACTACACCATCTCGCTTCCCGGGTTATATTAGGTTAGGTTATCTTCCGGTTATCCTAACCTAACCTAACCTAGCCTGGCCTAGCTTAGCCTAACCAAGGTGTGGTAACCTAACCTAATTTGGGTGTGGTCGGTATAATACCAAAGTACCGTGTTGAATACTGTACTGCAAGAATTTTAGTACATCCAACAGTTGTATGTAGTATTATATATGTTTTGTTGTTTCAGACTGGAAGAGCTGTTGCATGGCTCGGCTACTGACACTGAGGAGATATTGATTAGGACTGCCCTCGACCCAACCACTCTCAGCATGTGTGTGTCTACTTTCAAAAAGTAAGTTAAACAGATGCTTGATAATTACTACCTCCAGTAATCTATGGTGTGTTTTAGACACAATCACAAGATTTTTAGGAAAATTCAGGCCTTAGAGTCTACTTATTTTTTAAATGGTCCTAGTTGGCTTAACTTAGCTGAAGACATATCTGATATGTCCGATTCAAGCGCATATTGCTTACCATAAAGATTATTGTAATACAATTGACTTTATTACTAATTCAACTGAATACAGCTGTCCAAATCATGTAAACAATAAAAGAGTGAATACAAATTGTAAAATCTACCCTTAAATAAGAGTGAAACATTGAGTTAACGCCAGTGCACTCAAACGTCACCAATAAGAAACAATCACTCTATTTTCTTTTATGTCAAGTATACTTCAGTGTAATGTTTGCTCAATAGGTTTGCGTTACAAGTATTTTGTTTACTTTTTCCTTGTTATTTTGTTCAACTAACATAGCTACTTAGCAACCCATAAGGCCAATGTTAATTTTTTAAATTTTAAAATGAGTTGTGTAGCGAAATACAAATTTTCCTGAGGTAGTGGCAGTCACCAATCATGTTTTTTAGGGCTATAAGTCCCTAATTCCAAAATTTAGTAAAAATCCTTCTGCTGGATTTTGGGATATACATTACCGACAGAAAAATAGACTTCGCTCGTATTATAGTATAGAATTACGTTACTAGCCCGGTAAGTGGTGTTTTACCGTGTGATTTTTGTGCGAGTACGATAAAGCTTACCGGACGAATAATGTACGATACTGTAGCCCTACATCATACTACGCAAAAAAGTTAGAACATTTAAAACTCATAACATAATTTATTTAGGACATACATAAACTAATCTTACTAATATTATATATTTTTATATTTCAGAAAATAAAATAGGCCGTTGCAATTAGTTGTTTATTTTATCAGCTGACTAAGTGCACCGTAATATTACGTTACTAGTCCTGAAAATAAGTGTTTATCGGACGAGTGTGGTCGTTCCTGTGGGAGATGAAGTCGACTACGGGATTACCATACGAGTTTTAAACAGTCATTTCAAGTGTAATAGTTTACAAAAACACTAGTAATTTCAAATTTCAGAGACTTTTACTATGTCGATGAACAGCACCATATTTTTGGCTGGTTGGTCAGCAAGAATGCATGCATTATAATGCTTAATCATTTCTAAATTTTTCATGGACTAACCACCTTATATAAATAAAGTTGGACATTTGTATTTTAGGGAACTTGAAGCTTCCAAGCATCAAAAGCTCGAACTTCGAGAATTGCTCGTCACCAGCCAAAAAGAGGCTAACAAGCTAAAAGCTGAAGTGAAGAAACTCAATGAAGACATTTCAATTTATAAGAGAGTTAACCAGTAAGTTAATCTATATAATTATACTCTGTTCACAAAATTTAGGCAATTTGAGGGGAAGTTCCCAAACCACTTTATTGTGCTTATAATATTTGTTATTTAATCAGCTCTTGAGCTACTATTTTAAAGGGAAGTGTCAAGTGGAGGGGATAGATTTCTTCCTCTAAAAGCGCCTAAATTTTGTGAACATAGTTTAGTACAATAGGTAGTTTTTCTGTAACATCCCTTTTTTACTTCTCCTACCTAGAGTTCATTTTCCTACTACTGGATATTGAAGATTATTAAAGATTATTAGAGAAATTATTAGAAGAGATTGATTATTAAATAAACTTACCTGTTCAATATCCTTTGATTTTGTTAGATGACGACGGTCACAACATCAGGCCAATACTTTACTTTACTTTAATTTTAATACTTTTCAATGAAATGGCGACCATACAAAGTAGGTATTTTAAGGCAAATATGAATGGAGATGAGTGTAGGATCCTCGTAGAGCGATTAAGTTAAGTTAAATACACTTAAAGTTTATTGAAGGCCTATTCATTCTGATAGCCCCTGGACTACGTATTATGACTTTATAGGCTTACCTTTGTCAGTAGTCCAAAATTGTGTTTAACTTCAATTATTATTTAAAGCTGACATGTTTCGTTGCAATGCAACATCGTTGGAGCTTCACGTCTAAAACAATCATTTGACACATAAGACAGTAGGCTACATATACACTACACAGGACAATTAAACACAATACAACACAATAGCGCCATCATGACAGCGGTTGTAGGTAGAGTCTACCAATAGGTAATAACACAGAGTCTAAAACTAGGACGGGCGTCGTCGTCCTGTAATCCAGCTACTAGTAGGTTACGAATTGTGGATATTTATAGGCATGCACTGTAGGTGCGATACTCTCTGGTGTGGATTAACGTCCGCACGAGTGAGTACTACGACTATCCGCAGTGCTATCCTGATAATTAGACCAATTCGTATATACCAAGGCAGAAATGTGGTTCAGATTCCACTATAATAAACTGTAGGTCCCTTAGTTGCCATTAGCTGTATGGTCTATTAATTAATAGCTGTTTCTAAATATATGTCGGCCTTAGTCACTAACAAGACTACAAGATCGCACCACTCATCCTACACTCATCTCCATTAGGGGAGGGATGAATGGTAACCAAAAAGGCCATTTCCTTTAGGGCTTTCCCACTCCAGTTTTTCATTATTTCTAGAGTTTGCTTTAAAAGATTCAGTGCTGTTGATTAACTTTCTTTATACCGGTAACGGAAATAGTTACACATCCATCAAATTATATTTTAATGTACTGACTTCTGTCACTGGCCATGGATTCTATATTACATAAAGGTTGCCTACCATAAGTTTTATACATATTTTTTAAAATATTAAAAAAACTCCTTTTTGCAATGAAATCCACTTTTAGGAATCGTAACATAGTTTTATTAGTAGTAACACTGTAGTTGATGCCACAGGAAACTGAAAGAAGACGTGGCATGCAGTGAGGAGGACATTGCCAGTTTGAAGCAGAAGATCAAACAGTTGCAGAGTGCCATATCGTCTCCCGGGGAGTCTAACCCTCGAGACAAGGCTCTGCGGCGACTCCTGCAAGAGAATCCAGCCCCTGCCAACATCGCTAACTCTCTAGACAACTCGTTTGTGGTGAGGCAACCAATATTTTTCATTGGCGGGAAATAGTGTTTGGGGTGTTGGGGGAGTCAGTTCCCTTTGGTAATTTGACTTTTTTTTGCACCCCACATCTCAGACAATCAGTCTTAAGCTCAAAGCCTTAATGTTGTAGAAAATCCATCCCTTATTTACTTTGTAGTCTCATCCCTAGCATATGCTGCTACTTTGTTTCAAAAATGTTGTTTCAGAAAATTGAAGGTGAAAAGTCTGAGTAGTCCTCTAGAAGTAGAGGGAATAGTTAATTAATTAATTGTGCATTTGTTTTAAAACTTTTATGAAGTTGGGTTGATGCGTTTCAAGTTCCATAACATTTGCTACCTTATAAAATCCAGAAATATGAAATTCAACTGCAGGGTTCAGTAACGTTGCTGAATATCCAACACATTCTCAATAATAAACAATTAATTAATATGTAAATGTAAATGTATGCTGTATATATTCAAACAGTGATAAAAGCCTACTTATACAATTGTACAAACCGCTATCTAAATTTGTGTTGGGTATTAGTTTTGATTTATCTTATTCAAGTTCAGCTGAACTTACGCTTGTAAGTTACATAAATTTTTACGTACCGGTAGGTTATATATTAAATTAAACAGATCTTAGAAATAAAAGGAGTTAATATAACATTTTGAAATTCTAATTGGTTTAAAGATAACTTCCTCCAGAATAGATTTTAAACTGTTCTGATAGTTAAATTATGATGAAAATCTAATGCAGTCTGATTTTACCGATCAGTTTTCAATGATTAACTGTTACTTGTATAATTCACATATTGAAAAAGTAATTTTTTATTTGTATTAACAAACTCATTTTAATCTACTTATAATAATTTTAGGTGTCGCCACCATCAAAGCCCTCAAAGATGAGTTACTCACCGCCATCTCCAGGCATTGCTATCCGGAAACGGAAGGAAGCACCGATGAGTATCTTCCAGAAACCCAACAGAGCTCTGGACCCGGACTCTATCAAACTGTCACAGTCCGGCCAAGGCTCGGAGACGGTGTACAACGGTCTGGGCGGACACTCTAGAAGTGACGACTTTGCGTTTCCAAAGTTTGATAGGTTTAAAAAGTTGACAAAGAAGAAGAATCTGTCAGCTGCTGCTGCGTCCACTGCCAAAAAACTCAAACCTGACCCTAATAATTTGAAGTTGGATTCTTTTTTCTCGTAAGTTGACGATTTGCGAGTATAAATAAGTTTGTTGACTGTTTATTGAATTGAACAGGAATAGATTGTAAATAGTTGAAAGACTGTAAATATTTTAAAGTTTTATTGTAGTAATTTAGATTGAAGTTTTAAAAACGTTTTCACCATTAATTTCTTTAACTACCTATATAATTTATTATGCTGACAGAACTGAAAATAAAATTTGATGGTATGAGAATAAATGTATTATTTTATTTCTTCAATGTCTTTGCATTTGGCATTTTCATGAGTAAACTGATGTGTCCATCAGAATAAGAGAATATAACATTAGAATGGATTTAAACCGTTATTTTCCCTTATTAAAAGTGTAAAATGTGCAATTGGTGCTATGTAAAAATACAATTAAGTAACCCGCCATATTTTATGAAAGAAATCAAAAAACCTCTTGTAGTTGTTCAGGTATAAGAGTACAAGTTTGTAAATAACAAATTAAAAATAGAGTAGGTGCTTGTAGGCTTGGATATACATATAAAATGTTGTCCATAAAACATAATTTTAGATTTAAACATTTCTAAAAGGAGTCAAATTTTAAGATATAGTTATACTTATCATATAATATTGTGCTAGTGAAATAATCTAGCTGCTTGTGAATTGTTAAATAAATTATTAAGTATACTACAAAAATGATCAATATTTGTTCACAGCTTTAAATGTATTGTTAGTAAAACGTATGTAAAATAATGTATGTGTAATTATACTAAATCATATTATCATATTTTATTATACAGTAGAACCCAGCCTAACTGGATTGAACCTACTGTTTGGTAAGAGAAAAAAAAAACTTGTACCTATAAAAGTGGCAGATAAAATGGTGGCTTTGTGTTAAGTATACGAGAACTGATTGATTTTTGTTAAGTAGATAATGTTTGACAAAAATATTTAAGTAGTAGCAAAACTTAACTTTGAACGTAAGAACCAAAGTTCTCAATACAATTTTAACCTATGTAGTCCAACTAATTGCTTAGTAAGAATACTAAATGTGTTTAATATGTCTAGGATCACAGAACATTTTACAAGGTTGAGACGCAATGAATTAAATAAATACTCTTTGCAATAACTTTGTTTGGAAAAATATATGTTTTGTTTTGCTGATGGTTTTTGTTCTTGTAACCAGTGTCAAACATCGATGGTAATGAAGACGGTTACATATTGCCTTTAAACTCAGTCAATTTTAGTCAGATTTAGACTGTATCCATCTCTGTAAATAGCAGAAAACTGTCTTTCTTCTGGTGTCTTTATAACCTTACTTTTGTTTAAGTATCCAGACGTTTTGAGAAAAAGACAATGTGTTGCTTGCCATGTTGCGTGTTGTTGTTTACAGGTTGTTTGTTGCAATATTTTCTTTAGGTACTAAAAATAAATTTTTATCTGTTTAGACTACTTATTTTATTGTAATATGCCTACTGAGTGATAGTTGCATTGAGTGATTTTACAACTATTCCTATTAAAATTATGACTTAGGCTATCCTAAAAATTGTTAACCATACTAAAGTTCATAAATGTTTTTTAATATAGCCTAATATTTATACAAATTTCAGATGTTTTATTTAGTTACAATTAGGCTACTCACAAAAATAGGGGCACAAACATTTTTTTCATAACAAGGTATAGTTAGTTTGCAAAGTATATTTGTTCACATTGCTGCAAATTGCTTGAAAATCTACTGACACCACACAAAAAATAAATGGCACCAGGAGGGTAAAGAAAATATCAGCTTACAGTAATTTGTTGCAAAACCTCACAGCTGTTCCTTCTCACACATCTTTAATATCACGATCACCAGTGGCTAACAAGCAGCCAGTGTGACCCGTGCAAAAGCCGCTGCTTGGTGGTGCTGGTGTCAGCCGCTGATCACCAGCAGCTGGCGAGCAGCCTGGTGTGACCCGTGCTTTAGCATGTAACATTTTTTCCACAAGACTCTTTTTGGTATACAACACAACAGGGGTTTTTAAATAGAATAATAAGCTTAGGGTAAAAAAGAAAAATCGTGTACCATAAATAAAATTATTTAATGAATAAATCACAGATTAATATGAAATGGTCTGGTTTCTATAAAATAATAATCCATAGGCAACAAAGACTGATATTTAACATATCACAATTTACAAGAAGTTTTTACTAAGACTACACCTTAAAGCTAAGGGGTTTATTATATACACACTAACACAACAGTTTACTATAATACATATCATATGTACAATGGTTAAGTAAATCACTCTTTGGTTTTACTTTGCTAGTTTTTCGATTGTAACTAACACAAAATACTACAGTTTGGTTATTTTCATGCTCTGAGAATCTGCAGCAATAAATACTGAATAACATTTAGAAGAGAAAGTAACACAGACGACTGAAGCGACAAGAGGACAGAAACATCAGTAAAAATACACCACTGAGAATTAGTCATAAACAACACACATTTGACCAAATAATATTCCAGCATGGAATGAAGTCTTTTATAAATACTTACTGAAAACACGCATACACATAATGAACAACCCACACAGAAGTCATGCAGAAAAAAAATATTTTACCAGTAAAACTTTTTAAAATATTAATGTTTAACATATTTTAGTTAGGAATTTCTTGGAGGGCCACATTAGGTGTCTTATTAGTTCTCAATGGTTTAAGCTCTAAACCCAACTGAATGTTAGAAAGATGTTATTATCATTTCTAACTTCAGATTGTAATGGGGAATACCTGTAATAATATGTATTTCAATGTCACAACTCACTACTGTAGCTGTTAAGCTTTAAAATTTAAAGGCTTAAAGTCACTGAGAAGATATGTTCACACTTGAACTTGAAACAGAACACATTTACAAATCACAATATAATTATGCATGTACAACACAATCCAATACATTTTACGTTAACTTTGAGCGTAGTTCTTTTGTTAATTAATACTAATTTGTAAGTGAAGTAGTTGACTAACTTCCTAAAACCGCATGTGCTTGGAACAAATTCATAGATTAGACATCAAGTATTAATTGTATGGCAATTTAATTTCCTTTGTATTCAACTTAGATAATGTGTTTAACTAAGAGCTAAGCATATATGACCTAAAACTGTTATTTTATGTTCTAATTAAATTTGTGAATATTATGATGTGTGGTAAGGAATACAAAACAAAGTATAGAATAAGACAGGAAACAAAGCTGATAAGCAAAGATTAACACCCACAGCACAATAATAAACCTGATAACAAATCAAAGAACCCTAATTGAATAAAATTACACTATTTTGTCACAATTTCAAAAGTCCTGCAGTATTATTATTCAACTGCTATGTGTACAACTAAACCTAACAAATATCAGGCCTTCCTAGGAAAACTAGTGATTTTGAATAGAGTTCCAGACAAGGGAATTTCACACAAGAAATTTTAATACAGTTAAGAAAAATATATTTAGCATATCAATATAATACAGAATGTTTGAGATTCAGTTTGGTTTAATATATTGAGCACATGAATTAAACAAGGGAGTATTTTTTGGGGTTTATACTGTAGTAGTAACCTTGATACTATAAAAGATGAACCCATCTTGATATTTTTTTGCGAGTTGCAGTGGTGAGATAAGGAAGAATAAATACATTTTAAGTTACAATTTTCAATATAATTTGAGACTATTGTGTGTAAACCAATCAGGATGTGCAGTCATCATATCAAACTTGCATTACATACAATAGTTTAAATTTATTATTCTATTTGAAGGACTGATGCTGCAAAAAGCTACATCCTCTGCCCTATGAAACTTATAATAAATTACACAATTAGATTATCCCAATAACATAATAGCCACATTCAATATGTGGTGCTCTTACATCTCAGTAGCAGAATTTGTTTTCAGGATATAAAATAAACAATGCAATTATATAGGGTTCTATTGAATATTAAATAACTGGGGAAAAATTTCATAAATAACACTGTTCACATTTAAACCTAGAAAAGCTTATTGGGGCAATTGGTTAGCTCAAACAGGTTACATAATATTATTTCATAGGACAATTTAAACCTTAACTAAAGACAAGTTGGCAAAGTTGACTTACAGTTAACTCAATTAAACTACACAATGTTTGTGCTACGAGCTAAGCAGCAAGGTGTCGTCTGTGCCAGAGAGATAAGAAGAAGAACTGTCACGACTCGGGGAGCTTTGAGAAGAAGACGCTTCACCTGGTATGGGGGAGTCGGGCGGTTTAACCACCACCTGCAAAGAAAAAACTGATCACACTCATTGCTTTTAAGAAAAACTCAGTTTAGGCAATGGTGGCAGTCTGAGGAGACAGCAGATCATTTAATTTATAAATGCACAGTTACGAATGAACGAGGTAAGGAAAACACTATTGGAACTAGGGTAAGGGGCAGGCGCCCCTCAGGAAGACCCCATAGTGAGGATGCTGCAGTTCATCAAGCTTAAGTTTTACAGGCTCTGATGAACTAAACTTGGGAGTGAAAAAACCCCATGTGACTGACTTGTATGGGGACATGATCCTTCATTTCAAGGATTGTCTTCTGGATTTTTTTTGGGAGGGAGGGTTTTAGGATACTACCCATAGCTTACTTTGACCAATCGATGTTTTGTAGCACCTTTCTGCTCAGTCTGACAGTGGACTTCTGCTGGAGACGCCCAATTGACCCATCTTCTATTTTGACTTTATAGGCTTAACCATCTTTTATTGTTCAAGTCCGCCTTCCTAGAGATTTCAACCTTTATACCAAGATTTCAAACCGTCAGTGCTGCCACAAGTGTTGGGAGGTTTCCACCTTGTTTTTACAGAATCTGTACTGGCCTGATTGTGAACTCCTAATGGTTCCTAGGTGTTTCCTTATAGTACCGTTCCTGGTTAACAGCCCTAGATTACTTCACACTCAATTACTAACAAGAGGCTAATTACTCAATACTGATACTTACAGCCAAAGTAATACTAAGTTCTTCTGGTTGTGGCCAGTTTTTACACCTATGGTATCATTTTCAGGCTGAAAAGACCTGAAATGTTCACTCGTAGGATGTCGTTATAAGTCTTAAAAAAGTCTCAACACTGGATCAACCCTGTCAAAATCAATGGATGGTATTTCAATTCAAAACACTTGACCTATACAACGTGTTGTTCTGTTACCTGTGGTGGTGGTACAGGACGTAGCCTGGTACGACGCAGACGACGGGGCCTCGTGGCTGGTACTGGCAATACACTCACCTCACTCTCACCTACAGCCACAGAGTAAGCTGGTGGAGGCTCTCGGTGGAACAACTCATCAGCCATCAGTGTGGGCATTGAGACAGACGACGTCATCCTACGAGGATAACCAGCGTAACATTAGTCCATACATCTTGATTTATTTAAAAAGGCTGAAAATGTTCTTTATGTTTAGCGCAAAGTGACGTAAAATTCTTTCTTAAACTTTTACACAAACAACAAAACAGATTTTTTTTTTTACTTTTTTTCAATTCCACATATAGAACCATTTTTTTAAAGTTTTGTATATCTTGGATTTCTATTTAAAGAATTGTTTGTATTTTTCCCAAGCCTCTACTTTAAAAAAATGTTATATGCCCATTCTCTTTTTTTTGTTCTTAAAAGTAAACAGTTCTACAAAATTTTTTTGGGATCTCTCAATGGTTTAAATTTATCCCTTGTAATGTCTTGCAAAAAATATATATACTTTTGCATAGTAGAACTTAAGTTATACAGCTCTACTAAAGTAACCTTTGTCACATACAGTAAAAAATAGCCTGCCAGTACAGAGATTTGTAGCTGCCAGATGCAGGGTTAACTGAGCCGATACTCCCTTGACATTACCTGAGTCGAGACGCAAGGTGTGGAGATATGTGAAGGTGATAGTTGGAAGAAGAAGATGAGTATCGATGTCCATAGAACCTGAACGCACATCCTACAGCTATGACTAGCAACAGGCCACAGAACAGCGAGCCCATTATGGCAAGTGCGATCACGGAGTTCTGCAAATTCATAAAAAAAGTCATTCAAAACTTCAACTCCCTTTATGTGTTACAGATATTTACTGCATTTGGTTTGATAAATCTTAATACTACCTTTGACTATTCATAGCAACTGTTATGACCCCTCAACTTTGTCAGCAACAATAAATAAGGTAGAAAATGTAATTTTAGACCCTAGCACATTCTGTGACTGGCTCACATTACTAGGTCCTTTTTTAATAACAAATAGGCAACAGCTGGTCCATATAGATGGATGTCTACTTCTGTATCCAATAATACTACACTTTTATTTACTTACTAGCTGAACCCGGCAGACGTTGTCTTGCCTTTGACTATTTATAATTTAAGTACCGTTACGTTTAATTTTCAAGATGATCTCGTTCGCATGGCT